TTTAATTCAAAATTTTATTTTTATTCAATTATGATACTTAATTCTTAGTGACTAATTTTGTAAGAGACTATTTTATAGTTGTTATTTTAGTAACGAAATCATTGAATACTAGTGTTTATTGAATTTTCAAAAATGCCCTTTTTTTATTTTTTGGAATATGTTTTTTTAAGACTAAAAACTCTGTCACACATTCAATTTATGACCTTTTTTGTTTTGTCATTGATAATAATAGCTGTAACAAGTTTTTGGGTCACAAATAATCCTAATTGTGACCAACATGGAAGTATTTGTTTCATTTTTTTTAGTCACAATAATTCTAGTTATAGTTAAAAAGAAACGTCACAAATGATTTAATATTAGTAACCAAATTTTATGTCACAAACAATTTCTTTTGTGGCGAGTTATACATGTTACAAATGAGGTTCCTTTTTGTGTCTAATTATTTTGTCACAAATAATCATCATTGTGACATAAAAATTTGTTACAAATACGATAGTAATTGTGTCCATCTTCACTGTAACTAAAATCATGATTTGTTGTCACGATTTCAAAATTAGTTACTATTATTTTTAGTGACTCAATATTTGTAACGGACAATGACCAACTAAATTTTAGATACAAATATAATTTGTGACCAAAAAATTTAATTTTTAAGACTAATTTTCCCATCACAGTTAATCCATTTCCTTATAGTGGTTGGACTTGCGCCTCTTTTCTATATACGTACAACAATAACTGGGCCCGCAATTGGCCTCACTGGATTGTTAGACCTGGTAATTACCACCTCCCATCCACGTGATTAATCTGTACCATATTCCAATTGCTTTACTTTTTTTTTTTTAACCCTCTACCTCTGTTGGATAAGGCACTGATATCTAATTTCCTCCGATTCCCCTCCCAGGCATTTCTCAATTCCAAAGCTCTAACTTCCTTCTGTCTGAGATACTTTTTCTTCGCTCTAATTGCTTTCCCTGACATAGGGGGATGCAAAACTGAAGGTGAAACAGCTTGCAGTTCCATTCCTAAGAAGTTAATTTTCTCTGAAACAGCCCTATGGACAGCTGTTTTTACTCTATCAACCTTCAAATCTAAATTCACCTCCAAAAACTTCAAGATCTGGTTCTTCAAATCCAATATTGAAATCTTAGACCCTGACGTTATTACCAATAACTCATCCAAGTACCTTACAGCATATATCTTTTCCGGCTTATAAAAGCCATTTGAGGCGGAAACTAGTTCATTCAAATCAAGTTTGGGATCATTCTGATTCATTTTAAGGCGCATATCCTGGATCTCTTTATCCAAACTACAAAGTAAATATCAATCAAAATTGAACACAAGCCAGATTCCTAAGGAAACCCTCTTCCTAAATAACACCCACCCAGTTCAATTCTCACTACTTCACATTCAAACAACCTCTTGACTCTTGAGCATAACAATCAACATCATATCCTTAATTTTCTCCCCAATAAACAAACACAATTTATCTATGTTACACTTCTGAAAGTTCTCACGGTTAAACGAAACACTAAACCACCAACTTAGATTTTGTACAGAGTTTTTAAGGCACCTAATTGCAGTGTGCCTTCCCATACCAACACAGCCCCCCTAAGAAAATGTGACAAACCGATCATCATAGACAATTTCCAATACCATCCTCATAGCTTCAATCAAGACCTTCAATTTCAAATTGGGCAGGACCAGAGGCTCACCTCTATTCCTTCATTGCGTCATTTTGACACAGCAAGACTCAATATCAAACTCATTTTCTCTAATTTCACCACTCATTTCAATTATGGAGAAGCGTTTGGAGAGGGAATCCAGAAAATGAGGGAGCAACTGAGTTGTCTCTAGCGTTGTGTTGCCAGGGCTGGTGAGGTTTTGGCATGCAGTGAGGAGGACAGAGGGCAAAGCAATGACATTCTGGACAAGGTTGGAGAAGTTTACATGAGAGTATTGGGAGAGAACCAGGATCTTGAGCTGGGGTTTTGTTAAGGGCTCTGTGGGGTTTGCATAAGGGTTTAAGGGAAGGGTTGAGTATTGTTTAAATGCTGCAGTGATGGAGATAGAATGCCCAAGATTGAGCCTAGTGATTCTGTTGAGCTTCTTAAGCATTGATGGGTAGTGAAGAAATATGAAGCAAAAGATGAAATTGGTTGCTATATTCTGTTTGTTTTCGAGATCCACCTCTTTCTTCTTCTCAGTTTTTCTTCTAACCTCACAGAAAGTATCCGTAAGATATCATACAAATTTCTAATCTTGTTGGAAGGAGAAAAAAATAATAACAAATAAATAAATAAAACCAAAAACTGCATCACAAAATTCTCACAAAAGAAGTATTGAGTCTATTGACTATTTTCCAATTCACAATGTAAATCGATTAAACAGAGTGAAATTCAATAAGAACCTAATAACACCTGATGTACTTTGTGTAAAATCAAGATGATAACTTGTATGAAATGGAAAAAAACTAGTAAATTGATCATAGCAAGGCTTGACACAATGTGGATGTTCAACATGGAGCTAGAACGATTCCACCATCAACGTCAAAATACCAATAACTCAGAAATTCTGATCATCAGACATCACCATATTCATTATTAAAAAAAAAAAAAAACAGAGAAGCATTACAAGGCTAATAAATTTTTATAGTGATCAAACCAAGATCTATTTCCATAAGACGAGAATAAACCAACAACAAGGATCACTTCCTCCATGTTAATTTTTAACATCTTTTAAAGCTTGGCTAACCAAGGGGCATTCTACCAGTTCAATTCAATGACACCATACATTAGCTAAACACACCCAGAATAGGAATTGTGAGATAACAATATTAGAAAAAGGGGGAAAAAAACCTAACATTCCTCTGCACCGCCTTTTTTCCCAAGAACGTGAATGAAACACACAAAATTAGTAGAAGAGTAGCTCAAACAATGTGCAAGGATAGAGTATACAATAATTTAATTCTTAAGACATGCAATCTCAGTAGTCTCTCTAGAAATACACATTAGAGTGCTTCCATATAGGTAACCAATTATTGGAAAAATTTATCAAAAAACTCTCACTCATTTCCCCTTTCCCCTTTCATCCATTTAATGACTGACTTTTGTCCATTCAACCAACTGATAAATATTCATTTTCATAAGTCCATCTTCACCTTAACCTACTTTAAGACACTAAATCTTAGCTGGATTTTTCATGTTTATATTGAAACATCAACCACATTTTTGAATTATAAGCTAGCAATTTCTTTTGCATGGCAGTTTCTATTAAAGGAAAAATAAATAAATTCTTTCAGACAGCAAGTACTCATCATATTTTGTGCAAAAGTGACTGACGACCAGTAAGCTTGACTTGAACATCCACGTCCAAAAACATTGGAAAACCCAAGACAGTTTCTTTCCTATCTGACTGAATGAAAAATCATCCAGAATACCGTAACCGATCTCTTGAGTATTGAATTTCATTTCGCCATGTTCAAGTTAACAAAGAGTTGCATAGCAAGTTCTAATAGGAATTTTAACAAACCTTTTATGGGCACTAAAGGAGTTATCCAACAACCACTAATCAAAACACATTTCAACAATCAACAACTAGTATACCGCAGACAAAGCAAAAACGGCTCCCGAAACACATAAGCTGAGTTTGAGAAATTAACAGCGATTTTGGGATCAGTAGCGTACCAGATTGGAGCCGAAAACCAGAAGCGGCGCCGGAGGAAGGAGGGAAGGCCGGAAAAGGTCAAGAAGTTGGGCTATACAATTGAGGGAAGTCCAAATAAACCCACAGTTCTAGCCTTCGAGCTTCTAGGTACATAAATGATCTCCAAAACCCATTCCTAGAGCTAAAACCTCCTCACCCGTATTTAATTTTACACTAAGAAAACTAAGAGATGAATAAAAACACATGGTTTTTTTTTTTTAAATATATATTTCTTTATTATTTGATAATGTAAAAAGGAGTTAGATATTATGATTCAGGGCACGCAGTTTTT